TATTATTCTCGAGAAGTTTCCTTGACCAGGGTTTGCTACATGATTTATCCTGATTCTGCTGCTTTTACCTTGCTCTTGCCAATTCCCCAATCGAGATCTGTTGGTGGTACCCTTACAATCCTCGCTTCAACGTAGTCCTTGAGCCTGTCTTGGTCACTTCTCTTCCAGGCATGAAGTCACTTAAGAGGCCTCCTTTGGAATAAAGACTCCGTTGAGGTCTATCACAAGGGGATTGATACGGGTGCTGCTGTTGAAACCCTTTTCAGGCACAAAAAGCAAAAGGGGTTTCCCCGTCAAACTGTACTTCAGCACGACGGTTGAGAGGGACACCCCTGCAGATGCGCAATGACAGCTCGGTCTGCTCAGCCTTCTAGGCTATTAGGTTGGAGGCCATCGCTATATACTGTAGTAGGTTGGAGGCCATTGCTTCTAGGTTGGAAACTATTAGGTGTGCACCTTGGAGACCTGTCCCGTGGGGCATTGAGGACAAGCTCAGGAAGTCCAGTTGCTTCATGCCAAGCTCCACATTCGATGTCGCACCCACCCCGGTAGTGGGTTGGAAGGCTGGTCATTGAATCTCACAAGCTTTTGATTGGCAAGCTGACCAAGGTTTTGTTGGAAGAACTCGCGCATCACCCCATCGATCTTGCTAGAAAAACTCCATGAATCAACTCGTCGTTATGGCAGGATGTCATGCTGGATTTCTCAATCACATAGCTGCTCTAGGTAAAACTTTGTTGGATGCTGCCCCTGGTTTTCATTTTTTTGCAGCGAGCCGAACCACCAGGTGGCGCAAAAGCAGCGGGCAGAGACGAACTGCGGAACCGTGGCACCGGAGGGGTCGCTGAAGGGCTGAAGGATTTGTCCCGTTTTTGAGAGTTATTCAGGACAAGCAGCTTCGGACCGAAGAGGATGCCTCTCTGATTTCATCTTCAACTTCAGCTCGGAGTCCTTGATCTGCTCCACTACCGCAGTTCGTTAGCGGTCAAATGTTCTTTCCCTCGATCAGGAGTCCTTTGAGTCTTTAGCCAGAGAGTTCAGTTTCTGATGTGGAGATTGCATGCCTTCTTGATCCTTTTTGCGCAAGTTGATCGACAGAGAGCTTCCAAGACGATGCAGCAATTGCTGTGTCAAGCATCGGTCGGGCCCTGAAGCCAGCAGGCAGGTATGCCAGGTCAGACGGGGCTCTGATGGACGCGGTGAGCCACTCAAGGACACCTGCGCTCGTGACTGCATTAGGGCATGATGGGCGGGACAGACAGACTTTGGTCGCACAGAGTTCAAGATGGGCACTTTGGGTCCATCGAATCAAGATGCACAGGGTTTGACATGCTCAGAATTTCAATCAAAACAAACCATAATCAGAAGCGAGAAGGCACTCTTCCCTGCGTATCTTCAAGACTGCCCAGAAGCGCGAGAGAGGTAAGCGTGTCACAGTCACAGTTTCGGTCAACACCGCCACCTGGCAAAGGAACAGATGCCCCCCCCACTCGAGGCACTTGTACCATCCCTGTTTCAAAGGAGCTTCATCAAGAACCTCGGTGTTCACATATTTAGAAAAGGCCTGGACATAAGGAGGGTTTGTGTTAGCAATGACCTTTCGCTTCAAACCATGGTCTTTGACAACACCCAGAGCGTTTAGGAAGCAAAACACGACACACACTTCAAACGCATCTCGAATCTCTTCGCACTTACATCATGCTTTGCATCATGTGTCTGACAAGTCCGCGTTGCCTGGCGTGCCCAATGCTCTCTTCTCCCAGTGCTCTTTGCGGCCTGACCTGTGCGTGGAAGTTCATCGCGTGGGACTCGCGCACCCTCCTTCGATCGGGGTCGGCGAACAGTTGAGATTGCCTGCAGGCCCGGCTGCACTGGCCTCTGGGCGGTCGTTTGAAAGTCCAGACAATCGAAGCTGGGGCTTTGGGAGCTGTTGCTGGCTTTTCCTCGGCTATCATCCTCTTTTGCATGCCTAAACTTGCTGCAGGCTCGTGAGGTTACAACTTGCCTTCTTGCAGCATTCCCACAAGCTGGGGTGTGTTGAGATCAGACCAAACGACAGCCCTGGAGAGGGCAATCTTTTCTCTTCCCAGATTCAGCCAGCGGTTGCTTATAGGGGCACCTGAATGTTGCAACTAGTCTCTTGTCAAGGGCGACTAGTCAAACCCAACCATTTTGTCGAGTAGAAACGCTAGGTCGAGCCATTGATGTAGCCTTTCGCCCTTTGACGATCCGCATATAGATCTGAAACTTTGCTGTAGTCACTGTAGTCAGTGTTTGATCCGCTCACAAGGCTCTTATGGCTTATTTCTTACTTTCGAAGGTCTACTGCTAAGATTAGTAGGCATTGAGACTAGCGCTTGATCGGAACAAGCAGCCTGAATCGACAGCCAGCAACCTTGTTCGGAATCAGGTCAGTCGGTTAGTCTTAGTGGCTTTGGAATGCTGTGGAGGTTGCTCTACGTTTGACATGCAGGCACAAGCAAAGCTGGAGATCGGCACGGGTCAAGAATGATGCCAGTCTAAGTGATAGCACCTGACTTGCGTACAGACGTGACAGAGTTCTGGATCAAACCTGACTGCCCAGTGATCATTTTCACCGTCACGCCTCCCACCATCGGCCTTTTTTTTCTTTTGCCCCAGCTCTCGAGCTGCCCAGTGATGGAATAGAGGCAAAAGGAAAGACGTGTCCAGTCAAAAAACTCAATGGGACGCACCTCGGATTGCTGCCGCCCAGTTTGATGCTCTGCAAGATGTGCTAGTGAGTCTTGCCAGACTTGTTAGTTGTAGCTCATTGCTTCTCATCTTGGCTAGTGAAGGGTTTGCAATACGAGCAAGACCAGGAAGGACTTGTAGCTCTGGGTGTATTGAGAAGAAACAGCAGATTGACCGATTGACCCTTGAACACAAAATCTTTTCCACGCAGGTGTGCAGAACTTCCAAATGCACTAGTTCACGGATGGAACTGACATGAAGAACCAGAACCATTAGTTGGCTTGGTTGAACAACCGAGGTCGTGCCAAGTTGGAGGTTTTGGAACGAGCTCGATTTCGCGGTCAGGTTTGCCACAGGTTCAGTGGAAAAGTAACTCCATGCTAAGGGAAGCTAAGAATGGGCAGATTGCCTGCAACAATAGTTCTCCTGTTGCGCTGAGGTGCTCCAGACGGGCTTAGTCAAACCTAAAAGTTCGTGAAGTGCCAGATAAAGGGATCCTCCAAACTAACAAGATTGTAGACTGTTAGGCTATTGTTACCTGGCACCACAAAGTGCCTTTTGTTTTCGAGCCGGCTTGAAGATGTCCCATATGTTCCATACTCATTGCAGATAGTTAGAATAAAGACTCCGTCAAGGTCTATCACAAGGGGATTGATACGGGTGCTGTTGAAATCCTTTTCCGGCACAAAAGGCTCAAAATGTTTTTGTGAAAAGATCACCAAGAATGACAAGTTAGGATTGTTACTTGGTTTGGATCCGTTAGATATACTGTTATACGAACAGTGAGGTAGCTGGTTTTCCTTTGCTGATCTCGAGTCCGAGGATGGTTGTACAACAGCAGGGCGCTGGCATTTCTTCCTTCTGCTTCTGCACTCTTAGGAGATCCAATAGGCACTCAAAAACTCTGCACAACATCCACCAAACAGGGCCAAAGCTAAGGCTTCCATCGGCACGGCCCTAGCCCGTGTGGATGATAGGAGCTGAGGTGGATCTGCCACTGAAAAGCAGTACGCATGAAAAGTAGAGGAAAGGAGGGTATTGATCCAAAGCTGGCTGCCATATATATCTGCGGTGTGAGATTGGCCATAAAGGATGTTTCTGTGGCCCATGATATGCTTGAGCTCAAGATGACATGACCTGGCACTCAATGTGGTCAGGTGGTTCTGCCTGTTCCAGCAGCCGCTTGGACGGTTGCACTTTGAACAGAACAGAGCAGCCGCTATTGGTTGGAACTGTCCAAATCACTTCTGAAGGTCACAGTCATGTGTTGCAAACGGAACCAGACTGGAGATTTGCACTTACACCAACCACTGAGATGGTGAAGCACATGTCAAATCAAATTTGTCGCAAAGGATCGATTAGGGTCCAAACTGATTGATTACAATCTGCAAGATGCTTTAGAGAACATTTGTCGCAGATATTAAACATCGACGCAACAAGCTTGGGCCCTTATGTACGTATGTGTCGATCAACAAGCTGCACAAGTGATTGACACACTCTAAACTTACCAGGACCAACTGGGGCAAGCCATCCCAAACCGGGAAATGGAACACCTCTATGTCAAGCGACAATGAATGATTTTTTGATCAGTTGCATGCTTCATGCACCCATTTCTACCATAGGAGCCAAGGGGCATGCCAAGCAGAGATTAGGATCGTAAGTGGAACGAGTCATTCACCAGACCGTCTTAGAGATCTGCCACTGAAAAGCAGTACGCATGAAAAGTAGAGGAAAGGAGGGTATTGATCCAAAGCTGGCTGCCATATATATCTGCGGTGTGAGATTGGCCATAAAGGATGTTTCTGTGGCCCATGATATGCTTGAGCTCAAGATGACATGACCTGGCACTCAATGTGGTCAGGTGGTTCTGCCTGTTCCAGCAGCCGCTTGAACGGTTGCACTTTGAACAGAACAGAGCAGCCGCTATTGGTTGGAACTGTCCAAATCACTTCTGAAGGTCACAGTCATGTGTTGCAAACGGAACCAGACTGGAGATTTGCACTTACACCAACCACTGAGATGGTGAAGCACATGTCAAATCAAATTTGTCGCAAAGGATCGATTAGGGTCCAAACTGATTGATTACAATCTGCAAGATGCTTTAGAGAACATTTGTCGCAGATATTAAACATCGACGCAACAAGCTTGGGCCCTTATGTACGTATGTACGTATGTGTGCGGCTTGTGTTGCCTACCATGTGAAGGCGGCGAGTCAACAGTTGCTCCACTGAAGCCACCCTATGCCTTTGGCATTTTCTCTCCCAGAGAACATCCCAAAAGAAGGGCATCCCAAACCACTCCCAGCCTGGCCAGGAAAAGCAATACCCTATATAAATGATGGGGAATGAGTCAGAATGAGGTACAAGTAGCAATAATACTAGCTCTAACAAAAGTCAATAGCTTGGAAATACTCCCGGAGAGTTCAACGTGCCAATGATCAACAGAGTCAATATAGAGTACGCAAGTATCCGAGCTGTTCTGAGGTGAATGCAACATGTCTTTGTCTGCACCTTTCGAGCCAGGGAATTTTAACTGCTGAGTGAACTCCCCAGGTTTTGCGGTCCTCAAGAGGGCTTGCTGAAGCCCAAGTCAGAGGTTTGTCAACTAAGTCAGGCATCAGGCGAGCTACAGTATGTTAGCAGAGGCACATTCGAGAAGCTGCAACAAAATGACACACTATGACACAAACAGACCTGAATTGCTATGACGTAAGTTGGCACTTTTGAACACTTGTCTTGCCTGCTGCAAACGAGCGTAGCCTTGGCCTCGGTTCCTTGCAAAAGGAGCAGCTTGTTTTTGCAATATAAAAGCCAACGCAGGCAATGAATCGTAGATGTAAGGCTTTCTGTTTTGATATTGGAATGCATACTCAGGTGGCAGCAAGTTTTGTCACGTGCGATTGCCAAGTCAATAGTTTGGGCATATTTCCTAGTTGGTTGGAGGTATCTATGACAGCCCTGCACAACGGCTCTGAAAATTCAGAGAGCTTGTGGACTATCATATGGCAAAGTCCTGTGTTTGTTTGTGCCTTCCTGGCCAGGGAACCTGAAGTACCCAAACGAAAGCAGCCTTAGCCGCTTCAGCCTTGGCCTTGGTGCCTCGTGGAAAGAGCGCCTTGCTTTTGCAATGTGAAAGGCAAGCTGAGGCACCACATCGCAGGTGCAATAGTTTGGACATACTCGCTAGTGGTTGGAAGTATCTTTGACTGCGCTGCGCAATATTTTTGAACGATCCCGGAGCTTGCAGACCATCATATGTCATATGCAACATGTCTTTGTTTGGGCCCTTCGTGTCAGGGGGTCTCAAAGGCCTAAATGAAAGCAGCCTTAGCATGGGCCTCTGTTCCTTGTACAGAGAGCTTGCTTTTGCGAGGCAGAAGGCCAGCTGAGGTGATCCATCATAGATGCAGGATTTTCGACAAGGCTGGAATGCAAACTCAGGTGGCTGCAAGCTGCGTCATGTCCGATTGCCAAGCCAATAGGTTGGACATATTTCCTAGTATGTTGGAAGAAGGGTGGTGGCCGATCCAATCGGAGTTTACCGAACGATCTCAAAAAATATCGACTGTAAACATGGTCTTTGGCAACCTCTACCGAAGACGGTCCGCCGGCACCTCTGAAGATGTGGACCTGGTATAACGCCAAATGATTGGGGCAATGAATGGTGGGAGAGATTCTTCTTTGCAGAAAGAATCTTGATATGTCCTGATCCTCTTTGGTACGTGCCTTGATCCATATCGGCTACCATACCGCGTAGAAGACAGAAAGCCTTTGCCTTCTAGTCTAAGGCATCTCAGCGCTTCAATTTCTTCAACATTTTGTTAGAAGCTACGCATATCAAGAATACAGTTGCGAATTGGGTCATGTATACTGGGTACTAGTGAGATGGGATCTTGTGGACATCCGAAATTTCTGCATGAGTAAGATGAGATAGGATTGTCCTAGCAAAAAGGAGGTAACAGCCTTCCGGGCTGTTCCAAGGTGTATGCAGCATGTATTTGTCTACTCCTTTCGAGCCAGGGAATTTTAACTGCTGAGTGAACTCCCCAGGTTTTGCGGTCCTCAAGAAGGCTTGATGAAGCCCAAGTCAGAGGTTTGTCAGTTTGTCAAGTAAGTCAGGCATCAGGCCAGCTACAGTATGTTAGCAGAGGCACATTCGAGAAGCTGCAACAAAATGACACACTATGACACAAACAGACCTGAATTGCTATGACGTAAGTTGGCACTTTTGAACACTTGTCTTGCCTGCTGCAAATCAGCCTAGCCTTGGCCTCGGTTCCTTGCAAAAGGAGCAGCTTGTTTTTGCAATATGAAAGCCAACGCAGGCAATGAATCGTAGATGTAAGGCTTTCTGTTTTGATATTGGAATGCATACTCAGGTGGCAGCAAGTTTTGTCACGTGCGATTGCCAAGTCAATAGTTTGGGCATATTTCCTAGTTGGTTGGAGGTATCTATGACAGCACTGCACAACGGCTCTGAAAATTCAGAGAGCTTGTGGACAATATGGCAAAGTCCTGTGTTTGTTTGTGCCTTCCTGGCCAGGGAACCCGAAGTACCCAAACGAAAGCAGCCATAGCCGCTTCAGCCTTGGCCTTGGTGCCTTGTGGAAAGAGTGCTTTGCTTTTGCAATGTGGCAGGCAAGCTCAGGCACCACATCGCGGATGCCAGATTCTTCATTTGGGTGGTAGAATGCCTACCCCGGTGACAGCAACTTGCGCAATGTGCGATTGCCAGGTCAATCGTGTGGACACATTTGCTTGTGGTTCAAAGTATTTTTGAGAGCCAGGTTCTGAAAGCTCCAGGAGCTTGCAGACCACCATATGTGATATGCAACATGTCTGAATCTGTGCCTTTGTTCCTTGAATAAAGAGATTGCTTTTGCGATGCAGAAGGCCAGCTGAGGTGATCCATCATAGATGCAGGAATTTCCACAATGCTGGAACACATACGCAGGTGGCAGCAAGTTTCGCTATGTGCGATTGCGGTTGTTTTGAATTTGGAAGTACCTTTGATGGCACCGCACAAAAGTTCTGAAACATCTTAAGCCTTCTGGGCTGTCGTAAGGTGTATGCAACATGTGTTTGTCCACACCTTTCGACAAGGCTGGAATGCAAACTCAGGTGGCTGCAAGCTGCGTCATGTCCGATTGCCAAGCCAATAGGTTGGACATATTTCCTAGTATGTTGGAAGAAGGGTGGTGGCCGATCCAATCGGAGTTTACCGAACGATCTCAAAAAATATCGACTGTAAACATGGTCTTTGGCAACCTCTACCGAAGACGGTCCGCCGGCACCTCTGAAGATGTCAGGGAAAGTGTCAGGGCATGGACCTGGTCAGGCAAGCTGAGCTCGTGTCACCGGGCTTGCCTTCGAGATGGTTGAATGGCCGAGGAGGCTGCACGATGCAAACAGTTGTTGATGTAGATTCCTACATCTCTTGTACTAACTCCACCTCGAATAATTCAACTGACCGGGGTGTCCAGTGTCCAGGTGTTTTACGAAGGGAGCTTTTGATTGCAGGAAATGAGTCACCATGCAAGATTGAAGCCTGGGTCCCCAGCTTTTTGCAATAGGCCGCAAAGGACACGTCTTGCGAATGATAACACTGCATGCTTTCTCATCTAATCTGGCAGCAAAACCTCACATCCAGCACGCCAATTGCCCACCAAGCCGCCGGCGAATCAAGCTTTTAACTCCCGCCCCCTGTTTTTGGTTACCATGCCGCGTAGGAGACAAAAACCCTTGCCTGCCTTCTAGTCTAAGGCATCTCAGCGCTTCAATTTCTTCAACATTT